TTGGGAGCCTGCGCCCCATTTACAAAACCGACCAAATATTCCAAAGCTTTGCTCCCACAAGGTTTAGCTTAAAGGGCTCCAACCCCAGGTTTCCAACCCCCCATCCCATTTCATTGCCCTCGTTAACGACCGCACAGCATCGTTCCTATTGGGATGCTCCCTGCGCAGCGTCGCTGCCAGCTCGCCTGGGGAGGGTTAATGTTGGCCGGGCTGTCGGGGAACGCTCTCCCAGAGTATAACTGGAGCCCCACGCCTGTCAATAAACATATTTCCAGTTGCTAGAGCAAAGCCAGCAGGACATCACAGGGTGCTCTCGGGCCCCAGGGCCCCCTCCCGTCCCAGCAGCTCTGGGGACTCGCTCCACTCCTCCCGACACCGAACTCCAGCTTTGGTTCCGCCGGGAGAAAGCTGCACCCACAGGCGGGCAGAGCCATGGGGACACGGAGCCAGCAGCTTCTCCCGGCTCCTATAAATAGGGAGAGAGAAAATAGACAAAAGGCACCGAGCCCCAGTGCCCGCTCACGCCCGGGCTCGCTGGCTGCTGGCCGACGGCTCCGTACGGGCTCTGCATCAGCCCAGACCCGTGCCGGAGCCTTCCTTTGCTCTTCTTAATCAAGAGGCTGATTTTTTTTTTTGGTTACAAGAGACAAGAAAACCTCTTGTGCAAGAGAAATCAGACCAGCACAGCCCCTGGTGTTACGTCCTGTCTGCTGCTGATTTCTAACCGCTAACACGTGTTTCGACGTGCAGCCAGAACACGGCCGGATCCTGCTGAGAAAATCAATCTGGCTCCAGACACAGCCGAGCCCGTGACCGTTGCAGATCCAGATATCGCAACCAAGTTCCTCAATTCCTTTGCTGGCCCTTGGGTCCCAAAGCAAGTGTCCTGTGTGTCCCGGCTCTGGGTGTCCCGGCTCCGTGCTATTCCTCAGAAGCCGGCCGTCGGGACGCAGGGACGGTGACACTCACCACGTCTGTCACACTTCGTTGGGCTGCACAAATGGATGCTCACGCCAGGAAGCCGTCCTGCTGCGAGCGACAGCTTTGCTGGGGAAGCTTATTTTAGAACATGGAACAACGTGCCCAGGGCAGGAAGAGGAACCCCATGGGGGGGATAATGCAAAACCATCCAGGCGGAGCTCCGGCGAGACGCCGCAGAACGCCGTGCTGCAGGACGGCCAGCACGGGACATCGCCCCTTCGATCACGGCGGTGACCTTACTGCTGTCGGGACGCGAAACCCAAATCCCAGCACCTCGAAGCTGCAGACTTGGCATCGGAGCAGCCATGACCATCTCATCCCTTCGGAGGGTTTAGAGCAGCACCAGGCGTTTAAATGAGTGAAACCCCACTCCAAGCCAGCTCTGAAAACACCTGAACGGGGAGGAAAAACCGCAGCCGCAAGGGAATGAAGGTGCCACAGTCCATGGCTCTCAAAAGGCGACGGCTGGCTGACATTCTGCCGGGAGAGCTGTGCATCCATCCCTTCCCGGAGAGGGAATGGAAAAGGGGGAGCGACGTTCCTGGGGGGCTGCACGGTCCG